TGAATGTGGTTGACCACGGCTCGAACTTGCAGATTTGCACTCGGATCCCCAACGCCCGTGCGGCGACGGTGTGGAATGCATTCGTCGCGCGCTGGATCCGACCCTTCGGGGCGCCCGACTTCCTGGCGTCAGACGGGGGCTCCGAGTTTGGTGAGAGGCTTGCCCGGGGAACCGAGCAATGGGGGATCACGCACCACGTGTGCGACGCCGACAGTCCGCGGCAGAACGGTCGGGTCGAGAGGCACGGTGGCTGGATTAAGGACCGTGTCAAGGCTGAGCTTGAAGCAGGAGCCGCCATCCCAGGCAGCCTTGAAGAGTCGGACGACCTGGTCCACGAGCTGGTCGCCCACAAAAATAGGTTCTGGCACCGTGGCGGTTTCAGTCCGCTCCAGCTGGTCTTCGGTCAGAACCCGAGGCTCCCTCGCGATCTGCTCTCGGACGATGCCCGGGCGGTGCCGGGCTGGCAGGACATGGTCCGTCCCGCCTCTGAGCAGGATGCGGCCGGTGCCGAGTTCGCGAGAGCGCAGGAGGTCAGGGCTGCTGCCAGGAGGATGGCCCTCGAGGTCAACGCCCGCGAGAAGATCAGCCGCGCCTCGCGCTCCCGTGCCCCAGGGACTCGCCAGTTCCCTCCAGGACAGTGGGTCTTCGTGTGGCGTCATATGAGCCGCACCTCGTCTCGAGCTGACGCCTTGGGGCGAAGGCGTGACGGTTGGACCGGTCCCGGAGTCGCGGTGCTTTGTGAGCAAGGCACCGCGTGGGTTGCTGTGCGCGCGAGGCTCTGGAAGCGCTCGCTCGAGCAGGTCCGTTTGGCCAGTCCCGAAGAAGAATGCGATATCCAGCTCGCCCAGAGCCCTCAGTGGCAAGACCTGCTCCGCCAGGTTCACACCAGGAGAGCGTCAGCCGTGGACGTCCAGCGCGAGGGGCCGCCTCCGGACGAAGCGTGGGACGAGCCATCCCGGGTGGAGCTCGACTCGGCGCCCAGGATCCCAGGACCCGGGCAGAACCCGCGGAGGCCGGGGGACCACCTCCTCCTCCTCCCTCCGTGGTGGGGCCGACTCGCGCGCGCCCTCCTCCTCCTTCCTCGGATGCGGGGTCGGCTGTGGGCAGAGCGGGTTCGGAGCACACCCTTCTTCCCTCCATTGCGGAGGACCCGGGCAGCGAGCCGGGACCCTCACCAGAGGGAACCTCCCCGCAGGCGCCCCGACAAGTCACCCCTGTCCCGGAGTCTGGCGACGGAGGCCTCGATCGGCCCGGAGAGAACGGCCCACCGAGCCCGTCCGAACACCTTTCCCCCGCTCCCGCTCCTTCCTCTGCTCCTCTTTCTTCTCCCCTTCCTGCTCCGGCTCTCTCTCCCCCCGCCCCTCCGGAGGGTGGCGTGCCGGGAGGGGCAGGCTGCAGCAGCCCTCAGGCGTTCCCGGCTGCATCCTGAGGGCCAGACGTGAGAAGCTCGCAGGTCGGGTCGGGGCCGAGCGGCCTCGAGCCCCCCCGAGATCAAGAGAGCTCGGACGGAGGAACCCGTCGGGAGCCGGGGGGGCCAGGGTCGGTCGCCCCCGTCGTCTTCCCCTCCTCTCCCCCCGGCCCCCTCCGAGGCCACCCCGCCTCCTCCTCCGCCCGGTCTGACGCAGAGGGGCCGGACCATCTCTGCTGGGCACGAGGACATGACCTCGGCGTCGGAGATGGTGCGACGCATCGAAGCGGGGGCGGCGCGGACCAGGCCCCGCTCACCTCGGGAGTTCGAGGTCACCGAGGATTTTCTCGTTGCCCCTCTCCCCTCCTCCTCCGGCGGGTCAGGTGATGGCGACGCGGGTGATGGCGGTGTCCGGGCCCGGCCTCTCAGCGAGTGGCGCGGCGCTGTAGGTTCCCGGGACTGGGCCACGGCGGCCAGCCGAGGAGGCGAGGTCAGCCTCAAGAGCTCGAGTCCGGCCGAGAGGTCCAAGTTCAGCCTTGCTGACGCCAAGGAGTGGAATGCGATGAAGGGGGCCGGAGCCGTCGACATCACCCCTCCCGCTCGCGCGGACATTGCGAGGAGGTCTCAGCCAGACAGGATCATCACGAGTAGGATGGTGCGTCGGTGGAAGCCAGTGGAGGGCACGGGAGCCAAGCCGGAAGCTAAATCAAGATGGTGTGTCCATGGACACAGAGACCCCGACTCAGGCCCCCTGCAATTGCACGCCCCTACGCCCCAGACCTCGAGCATCATGATGTTTACCCAGGCGCTGATGAATTTCGGCCTCCTGGCCGACATCGCGGACGTGAAAAACGCTTTCTGCCAGAGCGACCCGATGTCCAGGACCCAGGGCCACGTGTACGTCGAGCCTTGTGAATTGCATCGATCTTCCCCGAGGCCCCCTAATCCTGCTTAAGGTCAATGTCTATGGCCTGGACGATGCACCAGTTGCGCGGAGGCGGACGGTGATCAATTTCCTGTCACAGCACGGCTTCACCAAGAGCCTCTTAGAGCTGTGCTGGTGGATCCGCTACGGGCCAAATGGGGAAATCATGAATATGATGCTTCTCTAGGTGGATGACTTCTTTATAGGCAGTAGTTCCCCGGCCACCAGGTCCTGGATTGGGAATCTATTCGAGTCGCGCTTTAAGTTCGGCAAGTACCGAGACTGTCACGCAGGCGCAGTGGACTTTGCTGGGAGACGAGTAATTATCAGTGCCCAGAAGGCCACTCTAGATCAGGAGAAGTAGATCTTGGAGGAGATCAAACCGTTGACGATGGCCAGAGGCCGGCTCTCCACCAAGAACAGCCCCCTTGATCAGTCTGAGTTCCGGGCGCTCAGATCACTCGCCTTTAAGTTCAACTGGGTCGGCCGGGAATGCCGGCCCGAGGCCGCCGGTGTAGCAAGTATCCTTGCGAGTCGCTTGAAGGCTCCCACTACTGGTGACGTAGCCCTCGCCAACAAGATGGTGCGTCACCTTCGTTCGACAGCATCACGTGGGCTCACGGCGCGGAAGCTTGACCCCGAGCGCACGGCGTTTATATCGTTTTCGGATATTGGTGGAGTAGGAGCGTTCGACGACCTACTCGATGACAAGGGACTGCCTGTGGACCCCACCCAGGGCGCCTGGATGGCCCTGGCGGCCGACAAGAGCGTCCTTGAGAACAAGTCTGTACGTACATCGCTCTTGGGCTGGCGCAGCTGCAAACTCCGGCGCAAGGTACCGTCCACCTTGGCGGGAGAGACCCATGCACTGTCTTTGGCCGTGGCCGAAGTCGAGCATCTCCAGATTATATACCGGGACGTTGTGTTCCAGGACGTAGACATCCAGGACCATAATCGATGCTCTGGGCCATTCACTACTGTCCTCAGGAGCGACTGCCGACTGGGCTCCAGAGAGCACCAGGTGCACGTGGTGGACGCCAAGTCCATCTACGACACCATGCTCAAAGAGGGTAATGCCTCAGCTCGTGACCGTCGCACCGCAATTGATCTAGCGATCGTCTGCGAGGCCCTCGAGAGGGCCCAGGGCAAGGTCCGCTGGGCCCCGCATGGACGCATGCCGGTAGATTCCCTGACGAAGGACGACATCACCAAAGGGAACGCCGCCCTGTTCGATCTGATGACCAGCGGCCGGCTGGCGCTGATCGACGAGAGGTCAGAGGTTGAACGCCGCCGCACTCAACCCGAGCTGAAGAGCCGCACCCAAGCGGCCTCGCGCAAGGTCTTGGACGAGACATCGTGGGTTTCTTGGAAGGAGCTCCAGGACCAGACCCAGGCCGGTGGTGGTGGTGGTGGTTCCTCCCTTCTGCCCTCCTCCTCTCCATCCTATATACACCGCCAATTTCTATGCTTTCCAATAGTCTCATTCTCTGCGCCTATCCTTGTGCTTATCCTTCTGTTCCCCAAGGTTTTCCGCCACTCTCACAGCGAGAGGGCCGGTGACAAGCCACAGAGGCCTCGAGTCACCAGGGGAAGCTAAACCTGCTAGAAAGTCCGACCAGTGTAGCTGGTCTCCAGATTTTCCCCGTCAGGTTTAGCATATGGTTAGCTTGTCATATTTCACCCGTTGTGACACGTTTGGCTCAAGGGAAAAGCATATACTACCCCTGCTGCTGCCACAGGAAGCCGTTGGGGGGGGGCCTCTCGACTTGGGGCCTTCTTGGAATCCTCCAGGGCCGTCTTGGAGGCCCGTCTTGGGCGTCTTAAAGGCCTCCTGTGCCGTTTTGGGGGCCTCTTGGGACCGTCTCGGGGCCCTCTTGGGCCGTTCTGGGGCCATCTTGGAGGGCCGCCTCGGGCCGTCGGAAGGCCGAAAAGAAGCAAATGTCAAAATCCGTCAAAAACTTTAGGAACATCAATGTTGTGGGCCTCTTCTGGCCTTCTTGGAGGCCCTCTTGGGGGCCTGCGGGGCCGTCTTGGGCCAGCTTCGAGCCAACTTCGGCCATCTTGGTGGGTTCCTGGCACGTCTGACGCCGTTCTGGAGCCGTCTTGGGGGCCTTTCTGGACCGACTTGGGGCGCTTCGGGGCCGTCTTGGAGGCCATCTCGGCCGTCTTGGAGGCCATCTTGGGCCGTTTTGGAGGCATCCTGGGGCCATCTTAGCCGTCTTGGAGGCCATCTTGGGCCGTCTTGGAGACGTCTTGGAGACCATCGGGGGCCCTCTCGGCCGTCTTGGAAGCCATCTTGGGCCAACTGGAGGACACAGAGGCACGACGGACGCGTTTTGAGATCCTTTCCGGGTGGCCAGCGGGACGGGCCGAAGCCCGTCTTGGACCATCTTGGGCGGACTTGGAGGCCATATTGGATCATCTTTGTCGGACTGGCAGGCCATCTTGGCCATCTTGGACGCCATCTTGAGCCGTCTTGGAGGATTTGTTCGGGACTTCGCGATCCTGGAAGGGCCTCCCGGGACCCCGGCGCGACGGGCCGAAGCCCCAGGGGGAGTTCTTTGAGAAAAAGAACCAAAACCAAAACCGATGGGATTCGGCACGCCAGGCACCCCTTCGATGAATCGACAGGGGGCGGCGGATCGAATGGCCTTCGGCCCATTCCCTAGCCATTTTGGCTCAAGCCATTTTGGCTCAAGCCATTTTGGCTCAAGGCGCCCCCGCTGCCCGGGAGGCGGCGCGCTGGCGCCGTGCGCGCAGGCTGCCCCCCAGAGCGCATGAGCTCGGTGACCGAGCTTGCTCACGACCGGAAGGGGGCCGAGCTCTCCATCTGGGTACCGGGCGGCTGGGCAGCCCTGGTCGTCCCGATTGCCGCCTTGAGCATCTATGGGGCACCCGCAGGGCTTGGTGCAATTGGCGCGCATAGTCGGGCTCCTGCGCCTGCGCCTGGAGATGTGCAACGACGCGGGCCAGATCCCAGAGATCCGCCAGCAGATCGAGCAGTTCGAGCGTCAGAGGGAGCTGATGACGAGCAGCTCGCCTCCACCTTCACCGACGAGACCCCGTTCGCGCCCCACGAGGAGAACGGCGTCCCGTTCGCGCTCCACGAGGAGAACGGCGTCGAGACAGCAGGAACACGCCCTCCTCGGGGCCACGACTTCGCTTCCGGTTCCCCAGGGGGTCCTTCCTCTCCAACCGGTGCCGGGAGTACTGCGCGCAAGCATCGAGGCCCGCCAGGATGCGCAGGATGCTGCCCTGACAGCCAGTCGCGCGGCCGAGGCGGCGATGCAAGCGGCGGCGAGGGCGACTGCAGCGCCCCGCCCGGTAGCACCGCTGGTCCGCCCCACTGCGGCGCCTCAGCTGCAGGAGCCACGCCCCCCAGCACCCCCCCCTCTCGGGGAAGGGCGTGCGCGCACGCCGCCCCGGCGGCACAAACCGATCGGATCTGCGAGGTGGATTCCCCGCCCGTCAGTTTCCCGACGATTGCGCCCTTCCCTGAGCCGCCGACCGTGCTGGCGTCGTCGATCAGGATGGGCACCAAGCTGTGCCCGAAGCCTAGAGTGGAGTGGAACGACGTCGTCGACGACGACGCCGACCACGACGAGCAGGCTGCCCCCACCGGGCAGGACGTGGGGGACGGGGCGCACGACGAGGCCCCCACCAGAGTCGAGCCTGCAGCGCAGTGGCCACCAGCCGCCCCGCATGCAGGCGCGCTGGCTGCGGAGCCGCAAACCGATGCGGAGGAAGAAGATGATTTCTCGCCCATCTCGAGAGGAGAGCTGCGGCGTTGCGTGGCCGAGTCTATCAGGACGAAGCTGCCCATCATTGCGGCGAAGGGCGACGACGTGGATGCCCACATGATGGAGGTCACTCTCAAGGCCGACCATTCCCTGGCGTGGCTCGCCCGCTTCTCGTGGAGGCGATGCCAGTCCGGGAAGGCACCCAAAGGCACTGTGATGAGGTGTTCGTGCAAAGACGCAGCCGGAGACACTCAGACGCTCCAGGCCGGCGAGCAGCCGCTCCTCGCGGCGCTTCAGGCCTTCAGCGACTCCGACGCGATTATCTTCATGATCGGGCCCGGGCCTGAGCTCGATGCCTTAACGCATTCTGTATAGCCAGACGCGCCTAGGCACGCAGTTCGCCAGTGTTGCCAACGTGCAACACAACGCATGCGTCGTAACGGCGGCGCTGGCGTTGCCCCTTCGTGCCCGCGCGCGTTGCGACAATTTGCTGGTTTTGTCCCTTTCGCCGAAGCTCCAGTTTGCATGCTCCCCCTCTGGAGCCGCTTGTGGCCGGAGGTGCGCCATGTTGACGCTTGCTTCCCAGCTCCTTACCGCGGGCGCTCTGAGCTCAGGACGAGCGTGCCGCATCTCATGTCTCGTCAGTGGCGCTGTGCTTCAATGCGCGAGACACCGTTGTCCAGCCCTAGTAGGGGGCTAGACGACGGCCCGAGCAGGCGTACGATTTCGATGTTGCCGCCCGTGGCGCTCGTTTCTGTGCACCCGCTCCTCTGCATACTTCTTCCGCGGCCGTGGCCCTCCGCGTTACCTCCGAGGGGAGGCCGCGCGGCGTGGTCCAGCGCTCGTGTGTCACTGGGAGTCCTTCGTTCCCCGAGCAACAAAAAAAAACCTTCGGCCCATCCCGCCACCGTGCCCAGGTTGATTGTCAGATCTCTCAGGGATGCTTCCTCGGGTCGCTTCGGCGCGCTCTCGGGGGCTTCTTGGGAGCAGTGTGGGGTCTTCTTCGGAGCCTCTTCCGCAGGCCTAGAGGTTGACACCAACACCAAATATTACCACCAGCACCGAAATCTAGGATCATCTTCCCCCTGTGGAGGAAAACCCCCTCTGTTGGTGTTGGTGCTCTTTTCCAGGCCTCCAACTCTTGGTGGCCTCTTGCGGGCCTCCTGAAGCTTCTCGGTGGCCTCTTGGGGACTGCTTGGGGCTCCCTGGGGGCCTCTGGGGCCGAGGGCTCGAACTGTTCGCTCGGGCTCCCCATCTGGGCGTTATCTTGGGCCGTCTTTGGGCTTTCTAGGGCCGTCTCGGACGCCTCCTGAGCCGTCGGCCCTCTCGGGCCTTCTTGGGGCCCTCTTGGAGGCCTGTGGGGCCGTCTTGGTGCGATTTTGGGGGCCTCGTGGGCCGTCGCGGAGCGGCGGGAAGCCAAAAAGGCGAGAACGCCAAAATCCTTAAAAAGAACCTCAGGACAATCAATGATTCTGGCATCTTGGGGCTCTCTTGCGGGGCCTGTTGGGGCGTCTTGGAGGCCTCGTGGGCCGTCTGGGGCCATCTTGAGCGACTTGGAGCGATCGTTCGGCGACTCGGGGTTCTCTTGGACCGTTTGGGGGCCTCTTGGAGCCCTTTTGGCCAGTCTTGGGGCTGCCTCGGGCCCTCTTGGATCCGAAAAAGTCATGCGACATGCCGCGACGGGGCCCAGGTGGCACGCGGAAAGCGCCGGGTGATTTAGCAATTTGGATTGCGGGCACCGAAGAGACTCCTCAGGAGTGAGAATCGGGGCTTAGAGGATGAAGGAAAGGACCTGAAAGCACGCCCACCCCGTGCCCAGTGGCACGGTGGCGGATTACTATTCTTCTGTGCTTCCATCAGGGGCAACGCTCGGGGGGAATGGGCTCAGGGGGGGACGCATCGACCCGCAATCGCGCAGGAGCGTGCAGCTTCGTTATCGGGAGCCTATCGCGGATCTGTCGGAGATGGGTTGGCGATTCTAGCTCGGGGTTTTTCCCCCGAGCCTCCCCCCTTGTCGACATGTGTGCAGCTCCCCCCTAGCTATGGGCATGATGCAGGCATGTGTGTGCAGCTGTCCCTGCGTCTATTCCCTTCTCTCTGCGGCCAGCTGTCCTGCCTCCCTCTCGCCCACCCTCCGGGCCGAGCTGGGGCGCGCCTCCCAGGAGATCTTCGCGCGCGCGGGCGCGCCCCTCGGGCCGTTTCCCGATGCGGGCCAGGCGCTTGCTGGCCGTGAAAAGCCTGCATCGCGGTCATTGCTGTTGCTGTGAAGACTTTACGGCCGGTGCCGCCGACCCAGGACGACGACCACGACGACGACGACAACGACGACCTCGATGACAACGACAACGACGAGCTGATGACTCTGCCATGGGCTCAGGACACGGGGCGGGCGCGATCCTTGTTGTTGTTCGTTCTCCTCGCCATGAAGTAAGCGGGTCCTGAGTTGCTTCTCCCGTTGTCGGGTTCCTGGGGCCTTCCACGGGCCCCAGAATTGTCAGGCAACGATGCGGGATGACGAGTTGGTCTTCGGGGAAGGCCTTGGGGTACAGGACCCGTTTCCTTCAGGATCCGTTTCTCTCATGACATAAGCGTTACCATTCCTCATCATCTTTCTCCTCCTCCTCCTCCTCCTCCTCCTCCTCCTCCTCCTCCTCCTCCTCCTCCTCCTCCTCCTCCTAGTCATCCTATCCAGCTGCCTGCGCAGCAGGAAGGAAGTCGAGTCTAACGCCAGCTCCAGGTCACCGCCAGCACCGCAGCGCAGCAGGAAGGATGTCGAGTCGAACGCCAGCTCCAGGCCAGCGCCCCACCTGAGCCGGTCTTCACAGCACCCCTCCTGGTTCGCAGTTTCGTACAGGCCACCCGCCTAGCAACGATCTGCAAGTTTCCCAGGTGTACCCTCGCGTCCTTGCCTCCTCGGCCCATCCTGGGCCACTTTCGCTGGCCGTTCCCCGCTCGATGGCCTTCCAAGGTCCTTGCATCCCTATCGTGTATCCTTATGATACGGGTCGACTGTACCCCCTCTCTTCCGGCATCTTGGATGCCTCTTCGGGACAACTTGGGGTCTTCTGCGACCCTCTTTGGGGGCATCTGGGGAGCCCTTCGGGGCCCGTCGGGGTCTCGGGGCCGGGCTGGGCGTGATGATTTCAGCGCGGGGTGACAAGTATTTGGCATCGTTCGGGCATGTGCACTTTTTTCGGCGGGGACCATCGAGGAACATCTTGAGTCATCTTGCGAAAGAAAAATGCACGCACGAAATTGAAGAATGCACAGGGAATGAACGTCCAGGCGATGGCGAGCGTAGGACATGCCCAAGGGGGGGCGTCCCGCAGCAGCAAAAGCAAAACAGTACGGTCTGCCGCGCAGATCCCTTGGATCGGTTCTGCTCCCCCCCCTGGCGCCGCCTCTGGCGCCGCCCCTGGCGATCTCCGCGCGCCAGGGGTGGGGGGTCAGCGCCGATCCAAGAAATCCTCCCAGAATTCGGAAAGTTTACATCTATGCAGCTGCTTAGTTTAATGAATCGTAGCATACTCCCAGTAGAAGTGTCAGTAGTATTATTATTAGTAGTAGTAGTAGTAGTATGATTAGTAATAATGATCGGAGGTGAGGGGGTGAGATCGAAGTGGAACGGAGAGCCCCCCTACCGGGAAATCGATTTCGGTTTCGTGTTCGTGCGTGCCGTGCGCGCGGGCGAGGCGAAGCTGCGGCGGGCGAGAGGAAAGTCTCCTGTGGCTGAGGCGCGGCCGGACCAAATGTGTCTCTTCCGGGCGGCCGGTGGCGCGCGGTGTCCCGCCGGTGTCCCGCTGGTGTCCCGTCGGTGTCCCTGTGGCTGAGGCGCGGCCGGACCAAATGTGTCTCTTCCGGGCGGCCGGTGGCGCGCGGTGTCCCGCCGGTGTCCCGCTGGTGTCCCGTCGGTGTCCCTGTGGCTGAGGCGCGGCCGGACCAAATGTGTCTCTTCCAGGCGGCCGGTGGCGCGCGGTGTCCCGCCGGTGTCCCGCTGGTGTCCCGTCGGTGTCCCTGTGGCTGAGGCGCGGCCGGACCAGATCCATTGTGAGATCGATTGTGAGATCGATAGTGAGATCGATAGCGAGATCGATAGTGATATCGATGGTGAGATCGAATGTGAGATCGATTGTGAGATCGATAGCGAGATCGATTGAGTGAGACGTTGGTTCCCCCTCCCCCCTCACCTCCTTATCACCCGCAGGGTGGTCGTATAGGTATTATATCAAGTTGCTTGCGGCAAACCCCGCCACCGTGCTTGTGCAACAGCGCAGCAGGAAGGAGGCTGAGTGTAGGAACAGCGCATGTTCTACGAGTGGTCTGAATTGGGACGGGTCGTGAACTCGACCTCGTCTTCGTCCGCGCGGAAGGAAGGAGGTCGAGTTCACACCCTGAGGCAGTTCAGCGAGTGGTCTGAATTGGGGAGGGTCGTGATCTCCACCTCTTCTTCGTCCGCGCGGTACGGAGGAGGAGGAGGAGGCGAGGAAAAAAATAAGGAGGAGGAGGAGGAGATGGTTTCTGAGAGCCCTCTGGAGGAATCCTGGGAGCCCCTTAGGACCTCGTAAGGGCCTCTTGGGGTCACACGCTGGGGCCTCGTGGGGGCTTCTTGGGGCCCAAGTCTCGGGGGACCCTTGGCCCTCTTAGGAGCCCTCTTGGAGCGCTTCAGGGTCGTCTTCGGGCCCCCCTTGGGAGTCCCTGGGGCGATCTTCGGGTCCTCTTGGGCCGACTCGGGGCCCTCTACGGGGCCTCTTGGGCTGTCTTGGAACTATCGTGGCGGCCTTTTTGGACGCCTCCCGGCCCGTCTTGGAGGCCTCCCAGGCCCTCTTCGGCCATCTCAGGGAGCTCTTGGGACTTCTAGTCCCATGGCGCTGCCGGTGTTCCAGAGGCCTCAGAGCAGCAGTCGGGAAGGTATGGCTCCTGCGTCTCCCTCGGTACTTGATTACCGTGCTTTGGAAAAAAGATCCAAGCAATTCAAGAAACGGCCGCCGGGGAGGGCGGGGCGGGCGTGGCCTTCGAAGGACCGCCGCGGGCGGGGACTTCGAACAGTCACCTCCTTCGCCGGCGAAGCGACACCACCGTCGACAAGGGATGCACGGGGCGCGCACAGGACGAAGTGCAGCGCAGCGCGGCGGGCGAGAGGGTCGCGGAGGGCCGGCAGCAGAAGGGGCAGGCCCCGCCCGGCCTGCGTGAGAACGGATTGCGGGGAGCCCGCGGAAGAGGGCGTCGATCCCGGGGGGGGCGCGGGTGCAGGTGGCCGAACAAACACAAACACCCCCACATACACACACGCACACACGCACACGCACACACACACACACACACACACTTGTTCCCCGTCGGCGGCTAGGCAGAGGAGGGGTTGCTCTGGCGGTGTGGCATACACACATGCTCTCAGTCTCGCTCTTCCCCTCTCGCTCTCTCACACACACATTTTTTTGTTGAGCGTCGCGGCCCTGTGCGCGGCGACAGGGTGGAGAAGGACACACACACACACACACGAAGGCGCGGCCGAGGGGTACGCGCCATGGGCCGCCGCTGGGCCCCACCATCAGGCGCTCGCGCAGGCGCCGCGCTCGCTCGCGAGAGGCCCCCTTGGACTCCCCACGCCTCTTCAGGAATCTGGCGCTACCCTTACGCCGGGCCTGTCCCTCTACAGGACGGATATTCAAATATAGTCAAAACATAGTATGGGGATGTTGTTTCGAAACATCTTTGTTTTTCATTTCTTGGCCAAAATCTTCCTGGTGGGTTAAGTAGGGCCTGTCCCTCCACAGGAGGAATCTTCAAAAATAGTCGAAATATAGTCTGGGGGCGATGTTTCGATTATTTTTTTACTATTTGGGGATATTGATGGGGTATTTTTAATTTTTTTATCCAAAATCCACCTGTAGGGGGACATGCCCGACCTAACTTT